GAGCTGTCCCCAGGGTCATGTGTTTGTCAGGGAAAAGTAAATCCCTCCAAGCTCTGAGGCCAGCCCAGGGCCTGCGCAGTGGGGGAAAGCAGAACATGTGGGACCTCATTTGGGGTCCTGCCCCTCTCCAACACCATTTTTTCCCTATGTGAGCCCCCAGGTCCTGGCTCCTTGCTGAGCCCCCAGGACGAGGTGTCTGAGCTGGGCGATGCTCACGGGAGTGACACGTTTCCTTCGGAGCCGGGTGAGTCACGGCTGAGTCATGGCTGGCTCTGCTGAGCAGCTCCATGTCCCCTGCAGCCCCAGGGGACCCACAGCTCCATGGAATGCTGTAGGATGTGAAGCTGCCTCATCCCTTGTGGGGTCCCTGCCCTCTGCACAGGGGGGCACAGGGGAGCACAGGGGAGTCCTCCCCTCTCTGCTCCCCTGGGGCTGCAAATCTGGCTCAGCAGGTCAGGAGCAATAGGAGGGGAATGCCTCTGGTCACCCTGCAGCCCTTCGCCTTCCAACCCCACCAGCTCTTACTTTGAGCTGAGACCGGGCTGAGTGTGGGTTTTGTGGTTGCTTTTAGGGCCTTTCCTCTGGGGCAGAACCTTCTGCAGGCTCTCCTGGGCTGGTCAGCACAGGAACCAAGGGTAAACCACTGCCAAGAGCCTCCCCTGCTCCTGGGGCACCGCGTGCTGCCCCAGCGTTGTGTGTCCTCAGGAGCTGCCTGTGCCTCCCGCTCCCCCCCGGGCTGCTCCCCTGCCCAGCGGCTCCCACGCTCCCTGGGCTGACGCTCCGTGGGGCCGTTATGCCCGAGGATCGTTTTGCATGTGGGGAGAACCAGCGGCAGCAGAAGAATGAATTTGCATTTCTCAGTGGCACCCAGTGTGGGAACCGAAGCCGCGGAGGGTTTCGCTGCCGCTCGGCCCGCGCGGGGCTGTGTGAAAAGACAACATCCCGTCTGCTGGCACCGGGCCCGGCCCGTCTCACCTGGCTGCCCGTGTGTGCCTGGGAACGGCCCCGGGCCCACAGCACAGCCAGGCCCTGCTGGCCCCGCTGCCCCATTCCCGGTGTGCCGGCGGGATGAGGGTGATGGTGAGGAAACAGGAGTACGGTGCCCGTGGGACTTATTTTGGGGGGTTCTCTCGTACTGGGTGTGATCTGGGGTTCGTGTGCTGATGCAGCAGCTGCATGAAGAGCCCAGCGCAGGACCCTTCCCCGCACAGGGGGTTTCCCTCCTCTGCACCCCAAATCTCTGGTGGCAGTGACAGTGTGGGGGGAGCCGTGACCTTTCCTCACCCTGCAGGGAGCGGGACGCGCCCAGCCTGCCCTGAGCCCTCTCTTCCTGGCACTGCCATGCGACCCACAGCCATTTCCAGGCTTTTAATCCCAAGAGACAAAAGCAGGAGTTTAACGCAACTGGAGGAAGAAAAGAGCAGGGCTTTGGGCAGGGAACAGCAAACACAGTGGTGGATCTGCTGCTCCTGCGACCTCCCCTGCGTCACCCGGGTTTGCACTGGCAGCGCTTGGCCCAGCTGGGAACCCAACCCGGGGGGTGCTGGGGGAATTGGGGTGGCCAGGGTGGAGAGCTGGTGGTCCAGGGGCCGGTCTGAGGGCCGTGCTGCCACCATCCTGGCATCTTCACCCACCTCCAGCTTGTCCTTCCTCAGCTGCCATCCCAGGTACAACCAGGCTGCAGAAGGGACTGTGACACCCCAGGGCCAAGCACTGTCCACCTTCTGTCACCATAGGGTGTGAAGGAGCCTTTGCATGGGGCCAGGTGAGCACCTCTGTGTCCGTGCTACCAGTGTGGAGCAGACATCCACCCTTGCACCCCTGCACGGAGTTGGCTTCTACAACACCCCCTCTTTGCACCCTCAAGGGCTGCCCTGGAGTGCAGGTGACACCACAGTCCCACCTGCAGCAGCCCAGGAGCACCAGGAGCCTCAGGCAGTGGGGATGGGACGTCAGGGCAGTGGCCAGGACCCGAGCAGGGCTGTAGTGCAGCAGTGGGGACCCAGTTGCAGAGCAGGGCCGGGAGCCCTGTCCCCTCTGTCAGGGTGGGGGCCGCAGCAATAACGTGGCTGTTTGCCCCGAGCACACACAGGGCCCTGTAAACGGGGTTTATGGCAGCAGCTGGGAGATGGAGGAGCTGGGGGGGTAATAAAGAGGAGCGGCCCTGCTCGCCCTGGGGCTGCCCGGGAAGTGGGAATGTCTGACGGGGTGAGGAGGAGTCTGAGGGCATGCAGGTAGTCTTGGCTCTGGAGCAATCCCAGCACCCTCCTTGGTAGATCTGCACGGGGTCATTGCACCATAAAAAGTCCCTCTGTGCACACCTGTGGGTTTCTGCACTCACACTCCCTGCCCTCGGGTAACTTTGGGCTCTGTTGCAGAGCACTTGTCACCTCCCAGGTCCCTTCCAAGGGGTGGGGGGGATGTATTAAAGGTACTTCAACCATTTCAACCATTTCCAGTCTCCTTGGGCTGCAGAAAAGCCTGAGTGTGCCCATCCTGCAGCCTGAGAGTGGGGATTCACCCTGATTCAGCATCGCCCTGAGGCACAGACATGGGGTGCAGGATGTGGCCTCAGAGGGACCCCGGTTCTGCACAGGGACCACCACTGTCCCCAAAGGCTGTGTGGGAACTGGAGCAGAGGAAGTCCCACCACTGCAGGGGACCAGGAAGCACAACTGCGTGTGGGGACAAGTCGGGCTCCGTGGTCTCTGTGGTTTGTGCAGTGACATCAAGGGCCTTCAATAGTTTTATTATATGTGACATGGCTGCTTATCTATTATTCTTGTGATGGAGCCAGAGATTAGTTGTGAGCAGGTGGGCAGAGATTCTTCCAGGCTGATTCATGAGTAGTTTCTCCGTGTCTCCTCTCTGGCCACGTTCCCAAGCGTTCAGAAGTTTCACGGCAAAAGGCACCGGAATCGGAGCCGATGAGTTGACAGGGAGGACAAGGAAAAGGCACTGAAAACTGTGCACACGGGGCAGAAAAGCCAGACTTCGTTTCTCTCTTTTGCTGTTCCTCAGGTGTTGCAATCTCTCCTTTCCCTGGTTTGCATGTGCAAGCAGAGCTGTGCCAGCTGCGATTGCGAAAGGCGGCGGGGAGAGCCCGGCACGGCCGGAGCCGGTGACACCCCGGGCGGCTGGAGAGGTGTCATTTTGGGGCCTTTTGCCTGGTTTTGCAGTGCTGTGCTGCCTAGCTCTCCCTGAGCCCAGAAAAGCAAATGTTTTTCCCTTTAATCTCTTATTCTTATCAAGATCCCGGTGCTACTGATAAGAGGAGCAGGGAAAGCTCTTTCAGACTGAGGTGTGAGTTGGGTAACAGGCTCCCGGACAGCCCAGGATGACGCGGGTCTGGGATGCTCCGGAGCAGGGACCAGGGACTGCTGGTGCATCCCCTCTGCCTGGTGACATCTTGCCCAGTGTCCCCAGTTGTGCTCTCTTCTGCCTTGCTCCTGCCTCCCTTGGGTGCTCTGGTTCGGTGTTTGCTCTGGTGAGGTTGTAAAGAAACCCAATAAACGAGGGTGACCTGGAGGTGGTGTCACAGCAAATCCAGCTCTCAGAGCCCATGCAAACCATAACCTGCTCCCCAAATGTGCCCCTCACGCAGCCTGGGCGTGGGGCAGCAGCACAGAGCGGCTGCAGGAAGGGTGGGATGGGCGCTGTGGCTTCCCAGCATGGCTTGGGTGAGCCTGGTGTAGAGTTCACCTGTGATCTCATCCTGCATCCTCAGTCTCCCTGGCTGAGACACCTGCATTCCCATGCTCTGGGGGAGGTAATCATGCTTGGAAGGCTGCAGCCCTGGGGCTTTGGTGGGATGCTCCTGCCCCAGGTGCCCTCAGGAGATGGTGGGGTGGGACACAGGAGCAGGTTTGGGTGCCTCTGGGGCCTTGCCCAAAGCAGAGGATGCTCCAAGTGAGGGGGCTTGGGGGGCTCTGCTATGGCTGCCAAGAGTCAGGAGCACTGAGGGGGGACACTGGGGGGCCTGGAATGCCCTCCTGGCTGTGCCACATCCCCATCCCACGTGCCCAACCCCTGGCAAAGCCTGACCAGGGACTGGTGGCTTCCCCACACAACTGCTCGCCCAGGGGTCCCCCCGTGTCCCCCACAGCCACTGCCACGTGTTCCAGGCTGTGTTTACCAAAACAGCTCCGCTGGGACATGGGAGCCCTGATCCGGGGGGAGCTTTCCCCACGATAAGATAACATTGAGGAGTTTCTAAGGGAGGCAGAAACTCCTGGTGCTGCCGATAGCAGCAAAGGCCTTTCCCAGCACCCGGGCTGGGGTCGCCTCCCCCCGGGTTTTGTTTTCCTCCCAGCAAACATTTCCCATGGATGGCTTATCGGCCCTGCTCAGGGCAGGGGGGGTCACCAGCTCTGCCATTCCATGGGCTGGGGACGGGCCACTGGGATGTGGTGACGTGGGGCCGACCTGAGCTGCACCGTGGGTGTCTGTAGTGGGGTTTGGTCTGACGTGGGTATTTAGGGCATGGGGGAGTTGGATTTTAGCAGTGCTACGTGTGTGGGAGAACCGCCTGAACTGCCCTGCCTGCTTCATGTGCTAAAAAAAAGACCATAAATACCAACTCGGTGTCTGTCTCGCTCAGAACAGCTTTTTCCTGCTTATGCCGGTGGAGACAACCTGGGCCCGGAGTGCTGCATGTTCCAGCCGTGCCCCCGTGCCCAGTCCCACCTGCAGCAGCAGGCACAGACCCCAGGCACTGGCCAGTGCCGTGTCCCCAGGGTGAGGAGGGTTTGGGTGCTGTCAGGGGCTCCCCTCACCCCCAGTGGCTCTGAGCCCTCTTGATCACAGGCTCTGTGACAAACCCCTGGTGGCTGCAGACCTTGGATAGGGGATGGTCCCAGGGTTCAGGTCAGGGATGCTCCTGGGTTATCCCTCAGGGATGCTCCCACCTGCTCTGGGAGCTGTGCCGTGGCACAGGGCCTGGCCAGGGGCTCCCAGGCATCCAGCAGGTCTCTGTGCTGCAGGTCTGACTCCAGGAAGAGCCGTTGGTCTCGTCCAGGTGAGGCTGGAAGGGGTTAACGGTGGCCGGGTTTGCCCCGCTCCCCTCCCCGGGCCCATTCGGGTCTGAGCCCGGCGCCTACCAAGGGTTAACCCGGCCCGGGCTGTTCAAACACCTCGGCTGAGGTAAGCGCCGCTTGTTTGTTCAGGTAAATAAGGAAGGAATTGGATATAATGGGCAAAGGAGGCTCTGGCTGAGCCGTGACACTCGCTGCCGGGTCCCCCTCGCACGGCTCCGTCCCTCTGCCGCCCTCGGACCCGCCCAGGGTGCCCGGGGCCGGTCCCTGTCCCTGTCCCTGTCCCTGTCCCTGTCCCTGTCCCTGTCCCTGTGCCCCTCCCGTCGGTGTCCGCCCGGAGCCGATGTGGCTCAGCCCGGCCGTGCTGCCGCCGCGGGGCCGGCGCTGAGCCGGGCAGGAGCTGCTGGACAGTGCCGGGGCCCCCCCTCGGGGCCATGCCCCCCACAGCCACCGCTCCGAGCACCACGGGGATGGCTCTTCCCACCCTGCACCGGGACCCATGTGGATTGTGAGCTGCCCGCGCACCCTCGAGGTAAGACACGACCCCCCGGCTCCCAGTGCTCCATCAGCACCCACCCGACTCACCTTCCCTCCCTTCAGGGGCTCCCACAGCCCTTTCAGCACCAGTGTGGGGAGGACAGGGGGCCGTCGCATGTCAACATCCCATCCCACAGTTCCTTGCACCTCCAGGTGCCATTAAGCCTAAACAGGGACAGGTTGTCCCTTGGCATGGGGTTCTGGCACTTCTTGGGATGGTGTCACCCAAAATTAAATGGGATTTGCTAATTTTGTGTCTTTGCAACCCCCTCTTGCTCAAGCAAGGAGGGTGGGAGCCAGGACTCCCGGGGTGGCTCCTCCCAAGCCCACCCAGCACCAGCAGGGACCCTGAGGGTCCCACCAGCCCCTGTGCTGGCAGGGACAGTGTCCTTGGGGCACCGAGTGACTGACCAGCAGCCGGGGCTCCTTAGGGAGTGGCCCAGGGCCCAGGTGGCCATCAGGGACATGCCAGCTCCAGGGTGTCTCTGTGCAGCTGAACCCCTTTTCCAGACTTGCACTGTCCCAGCTGCTCTCTTGATGGGTGTTTTTTTTGTCAGCCCTGAAGTCCCTTTGGCTGCGGGTCTGGTTTTCATGGTTCTGCTCGGTTGGTGAAACACAAACGCGGTGCGGCTGCCAAGAACCCACAATACGGGCATTCTCCGGGCTGGCAGCACGGGGGGGAAGGGGCTGCTATAAATAGGGGCTCCCTGGCCCCACATGGGGAACACCAAGCTCTGCTGCTCACCTGGGGGACACCAAGCACCAGGCTTTGGTCAGGTCACTGGCAGGTTGTGCCTGTCCCCACCACTGCTGTTTGCTCCCTGTGCCGGTGGAGAGGGCAGCCTGACCCGGGGTGTGGGGACCCGTGGGGACACCCGGTCCCCATGCCAGCAGCCATGCAGGTAATGGCAGGAGGAGCTGGGGGACCTTGGTGGTGTTGGAGGAGGCTGGTGGGGAGCTAAGGGTCCAGGACCCTTGGGATGGGCTGCATCCCTCCTGGCTGTACGTTGAGGTGAGCCCAGGGCTTGCCCTGGTCCCAACCCTGTAACCACACAGCTACCAGAGCTCAGTCCCCAGGCTGTCACCTTCCCAGTCCCCCAGTGCCCTTCCCAGTCCCTGCCCTGGCTGTGGGGAGGTTTTGGCCAGTCCTTCTCCCTCCACCCAGAGATAAGAGGGGTGCGTGGCACAGGGTTTGGCAGCCAGGAGGGACGTGGCACAGCTGGCACTGTGGGGCTCACAGGGTGGATGGGACGTTCTGACAGGACCCCAAATTGTCAGCAGCCTCTGAGCACTCCTCTGGGTCCCTGCTGCAGCTCTGGCTCGTGCAGGGACCCCAAGTCCCTTTGCCTGCTTAATCCAGGCTGCTCTGGGCAGTCTGGGACAGCTCTGGGTGCCACATGTCCCTGGTTCCTCCTGGCACAGCACAGCATGTCCTGTCCCTGTCCCTGTCCCTGTCCCCAACCTCAGCCTGGGCTGGAGCTGACCCTGAACCCTGGCCCTGACCCCCACCCCTGCTGCCTGGGAAGGGCTTTGGGAAGTGCCTGGGGGTTTGGGAGACATCCCGGGTGCCACAGGCAGCACCTCCTCGTACCCTGGGCCAACCCTGGGCCCACGGGGCTTCCCGAGCGCTCCGGCACAACCTGTTCCACCGCGGATTTGGTTTAATTAACGGACCCATTGTTCGAGGGTGGGGGGTGGGTGAATTTCTGATATTTATTTTTTTTCTCGCTCCCAAGGGCTGATCCCAGCACTGCACCACTGCTGGGGCCCTGAGCCATGGGGGGTTGCCTTTGCCAGGAGAGTTTGGGGTAACGTGGGGGGTCCTTGGCCCCATCCCCCTTGGCTGTGAGATCCATGTGGGGTTGGGTCCCTGCAGAGCTGCAGAGCTGAGCTGTGACCCAGCACCACCCACAGCCCTGGGCTCACGCTGGCCTCGTGTCCTGGAGAGTGCAGGAGCCCCATCCCAGTCCTGCTGCCCCATCCCAGTCCTGCTGCCCCATCCCAGCCCTGCTGCCCCATCCCAGCTGTGCTGCCCCATCCCAGCCGTGCTGCCCCATCCCATCCTGTGGAGCTGGGGCCTCACTCAGCCCGTCAGCAGCCAGGGAGCCTCTGCCAGGGCTGATGTAACACTCAGTGCAGCCTCGTCCAGCTCGGGCAGGGAGTGGGAAGGTTTTGGGAGTCCCATGAGGGTTAGTGCACTTGGGGCTGCCCCTCCAGCTCTTCTTTTCCAGGGGAAATGCAAAAAGGGAGAGAAGAGGAGAGGGAAACAGCCACCCAAAGCAGCTCCTCGGCACAAACAGGTCCCACCCATCCCGGCTGCTGGAGCAGGAGAAAGTCAAACAGTGGCCCCCGCCCTGAGAGTACAGTGCCCTTGGTGGGGCACGGCACGGGCTTTTGGGGACACTTCCCAGGGTTTGGGTCCCTCTGGTCCCAGCTGGGATGAGGGGAACAGGATGAGGATGAGGCTGGGGCTGTCTGTCCTGCCGTGTCCATGTACAGGTCCACAGCCCTGCTCTGCCATGTGTCCGGTTTACAGCTGTGGAGGGCGGAGGATGCACCATGACCTCAGAGCATTGGAGGCCTTGGAGACCCCCATCCCCTCCCCAGACATCCCCATGGCCGCCACCGTCCAGCTGCACAAGCTGTTACCACTTCCCTTTTGTGCCAGGAGCAGCGTGGGGCTGGATTTAGGGCTGATCTCCTACAGCTCTTCTTTTAATCCCAACCCAATCAAGGAGAGCTTTGGAAGTCGGTGCCATCTCTCAGGGAAACTGTTTGGGTGGTGGGGGCAGCTCAGTGATCTGGGCACCCCTTCTCCCTCCTCCTCCTCTCTGCAGTGCCACGGAAACCGTTCAGGGACACAGACTCCAGCTCTTAACCCAGAACCCCTCCCCAGGTCCCCGTGGGCTCAGGCTGCCAAGGGGCTGGTTAGGTGTCCATGGTTCCTCTGTGTGTTTTTTTTGAGCTCTCCAGGCTTTTCCAAGGGTGAAGTGATGGGCATTTCCCCCTCGCTGGCGTTTGGAGCAAACAGGACACCCCATTTCCCTGGCCAGTGCCCCCTGTTCTCCCTTCAGGGCTGCCTGGTTTCCTTAGGGGGGCTTGGCATGCTCCTTTCCCAGTGTCAGCTCTGTTGTTAAAGCTCCTTTTTCTGCTTTTAAACCACCAATTTTGGATGGTTCTTCCTTTTCTTCTTGTAAAATGCAATGCTGGAGGCAGAGGAGCTGGGCAATGGCCTGGCCATGCCCATCACCAGCTTCTCCCTGGCAGGGGCTTCCCCTTCCCAAAGCCTCAGGATGGCTCTTGGGGAGGTTTATCCATGGATGGAGCCATTCCCTGGTGTTGCCATGGAAATTCAGCAGGTTCATCCTCTTCTCCATGGTCTCCAGGACTCCCTGCGTACGGAGACAGATGGGGACAGGCTGATTTTGGGCAGTTTTTCTTGCAAGAGAGTGAGGGTAATTGCAATTATCCTTTCTTGCAAGCAAAGTTCTCATCCGGGGGTTGGCACTGGTGACCAAGGGCTGGGTGCTGTGGTGCTGGACTCGGGCTCACCGGGGAGATCTGGGGTCTGGGGGCTGCTGTGCTGGGGCACCCTCAGGTGGCAGCAGAAGGAGGGGTTTTCCATGCACAGAAATGTGTCCTTGTGGCTCAAGCATCCCCTGTCACCCCAGGGCTGCCCTGTTCAGGTGTCAGGAGCCCCCTCAGTCCCCTCCTGCCTCATGCCAGGGCCTCAGCTCCAGCTGGGACTGAGCTGCTGCCAGCCTGGTGTGCAATCCATGGGGAGACCCTGAACACCCGGGGGGGTCAGATCCTGCCAGTCTGCTGTGCTCCTTCTCCCTGCCAGCTGCTGCTGCTGGTCCCCCCAGCTGAGGACAGCCCCCCCAGCCGTGGCTGACCCCGAGCCCGCACTCATCCCGAGGTTTGCAGGGCACCGTGGGGCGAATTTGGAGGTTTTTTCGTCTCTAACAGGCTTAGTTCCTCCCTTTGTGCCTGGCTGCTGGGCGGGAAGGCAGGAGCAGCACCGGGCTAAGCTCTGCTCCTCTCTCCTCTCCGGGCAGGTTTGGAGCCGGTGCTGAGCGGAGGGATGGGCAGTGCCAGCCCCGGGCTGACCGCTCTGCCCCCCGGCCGCCTCGCCTGGCCGGACCCTGCGCCGCTGCCGCCGCCCCGGGACCCCGGACCCCGGAGCTGGGGCTGCCCGGAGAGCCCCAGCCCCCCCGGCACCCCCGAGCAGCCCCTGCCCGCTTTCTGCCTGCACTACTTCGACATGCTCTACCCCGAGGACGTGGCCTGGGCCACCAAGGGCGTGGGGGAACCGTCCCCCGGCGGCGCCCAGGGCGGGCGGGAGGAGGCGCGGAAGGAGCCGGAGCAATGTCCCGTCATCGACAGCCAGGGCCTGGGGCTGGGGCCCGAGGGGGACCTGCAGGCCAGCCTGCCCCTGGAGGAGCACTCGCTGGAGCAGGTGCAGAGCATGGTGGTGGGAGAGGTGCTCAAGGACATCGAGACGGCCTGCAAGCTCCTCAACATCGCCGCAGGTGGGTGCCCCGGGCAGGGAGGGACGTGCTGGGGTGGGAGCCAAAGCCACGCTGCACTTTGGGGGCTGCAGCCCATGGGGGGCTTGGGGAGCGAGGCTGCCCCCAGGGAAGGAGGGTACGGCTCCTGGGGCTGCTGTGGGGGGAGCTGGCTGGCTCTGCTCACCCCACACCTCCAGACCCCACGGACTGGAGCCCCGGGAATGTGCAGAAGTGGATCCTGTGGACGGAGCACCAGTACCGGCTGCCGCAGATCGGGAAGTCCTTCCAGGAGCTGTCAGGGAAGGACCTGTGTGCCATGTCTGAGGAGCAGTTCTGCCAGCGCTCGCCTGCCTGTGGTGACATTCTCCATGCCCACCTCGACATCTGGAAGTCTGGTGGGTGCCAGGGACTGGGAGGGAGCTGGGGAGGGTGGGCAATGCAGGGCGTGCAGCAGGAGATCCCCTCCTGACCCCCCACTCCTCCCTTCCAGCCGCCTGGATGAAAGAGAAGGCTGCCCCCGGAGATGTAAGATACTGTGGTGAGTTCTGTGTGGGCTCAGCTCCACTGGCCCTACTCCTGCCTCAGGCATGTCTGGGGTACTTTGAGGGGGTCCCTCCCTGCTTAATTGCAATTATCTGGCTCACTGGAGTGGCTGTTGCTGTGAGATCTGTGTGGTTACACAGATCTGCCCCAGAGCAGCCCCAGGGCTCTCTGCAAAGTGCAGCAAAGGGGGAATGGCCACGAGACCCTTGCTGGCCCCAGCCCACATCCCCTGCACCCCTGCAGGCTACACAAGGCAGGACTGAGCTGTTCTTCCTGCTCCAAGATGAAGAGGAGAAAATGAAGATTCCAGACCCAGTGCCTGGTCCGAGTCTGGCACTGAGCTGGGGTTTCCCAGATAACACTCGTGCAGGTCCCTGGGATGGTGCACAACAGCGAGGTCTCCCCCTCCCTCCTCTCACCCATCCCTTCCCATGGCAGGGGGTGACTCCAGCTGGGCCGACAGCGAGGTGGACTCATCCTGCGCCGGGCAACCCATCCACCTCTGGCAGTTCCTCAAGGAGCTGCTGCTGAAACCCCACAACTACGGGCGCTTCATCCGCTGGCTCAACAAGGACAAAGGTGTGTGGGGGATGCTCGGAGGCCCCGGGGTGGGCACTGGGGGGGTGGGGAGCAGGCGGGGCTGCAACCAACCCCCCGTGCCCTGCTCCTCTCCCAGGCATCTTCAAGATCGAGGACTCGGCGCAGGTGGCCCGGCTGTGGGGCATCCGCAAGAACCGCCCGGCCATGAACTACGACAAACTGAGCCGCTCCATCCGGCAGTACTACAAGAAAGGGATCATCCGCAAACCCGACATCTCCCAGCGCCTCGTCTACCAGTTCGTGCACCCGGTGTGAGCGGGACAGGCTGAGCCCCGGGAGGGACAGGGCACCTCACTGCCTCCCCCTGCCCCCAGCCACAGAAACCCTCTGCCAGCACTAAGGGCCTCGGCTGGAGTGTGAGAGGCCCCCCACCCCCAGGACCTGCTGGACACGGACCCAGAGACCCCCCATTCCCCAGCTGAGGGACCACCCCCCATGCCCTGGTGTGGGGCAAGGGCTGTGCAGAGCCCTCATCTCCCCTGGCTGGGCTTGTCCCCCCTCCCCTCCTCCCCCCGGGTGCTGCCTGCGGGTGGCTTCGCCCCAGCCATTGTTCGGGGAGGACAAAGCCTGGGCATGAGCTGGGACAATGGAACCCGCAGGGACAGGGCACCCTCAGGGACAGGACCACCTGCCCCTGCCCGTGGTGGGGCCGCTGGCCAGACCCAGTCCAGGCAGGAGCAGCCTGGCACTGCCTGCCGTGGGAGCTGTGCCCCTGGAGACCACGGGCATCCCCTCGGGACAGGTGCACCCCCTTCACTTTCCACTCCAGGACACACTTGGCTTCCCCTCTCTGCAGGGGTTTGGGGCTGAAAACGGGAGTTTTTCAAGGACCAGCTGTAAATGCGGGTGTGGGGCTGTGCACAGTGGGGATCCCCCGAGCTGGGTCCTCCACCTTTGGGCATGGGGCCACCAGAGCCCTCCTAAGATCCCAGGTCCTGTGCCCTGGCACAGGGCTTTTCCCTTGATTTGGATTTTATCTGGACTGCCTGATTCTGTGGTTTGTGAAAAGGGAGATGTCAGTTTGCTGTTTCCCTCTGGACAGTAAATCTGGATTGTGACCCGCTGAGGCTGGACTGGGACAGAGAGCTGGGGATTGCTTCACCTGTGCCTTGCACCACAGTCAGAGTTACCTGGAGATGTTGATCTTTTATATTATAGGTTTTTTTATTTGTTTATTTACTTTTTGGTTTTGGCTGGCGGCGAATTGTGGTTTAGGTTCAAATGCCGAGGGGTGGTCTGTGCTCCCGGGGATGCTTTGTGGGAGCTTAAGAGGAAAAACACCTGGTTCTTGGTATTTTGTTTTTACCTTAAAAGAGCTGCCTGTGCTGGCTCCTGTCTTTCCCTCTGTTCCACCTACTCTGTGTGTGAGTCCTGCTCCCCATCCCGGCTGGAGGGATGGAGGGCAGCCGGAGGGAGGAGAGGAGCAGGGGAAGGAGAAAAACTGCCTTGGCTTCTGGAAAAGGGGATGAAAAAACAAATAATGGGGGGGGAAAGAAGCAAAATGTGTCTTGTGATTTGCTCTGTGTGACTGACACTCCTGCAGCCAGTGCAGGGGCACCAGGAGGGTGGGCTGGGGGTGCCCCAGATCTGGTGGTGCCCCAGATCTCGTGTCCCTCTGGTGACCCCTCCGGGTGTCCTTCTCCAGATCCTCTGCCAGGGTGGGGGAGGGCAGGTGGTGGCATCAACTTGCTGTGCCAGGGCTTTCCCAGCCTCGGGGAGTGCTGGGTCAGGGCTGGTGCTGGGAATGGCCCCAAAACCTAACGAGCTCCCCAGGGGCTTCTCAAGGCTTTGTCTGGGAGGGGCACAGGAGTCCCCAAAGGCAGTGGCTCTTCCCCCCTCCCAAAGCCCCCAAGGACCCCAGCAATGCATCCGAGCCCCCCACCCCTCTGCAGCCCAGAGCCTGGGGGGGAGTCACTACCTGGGGGTGCAGTGGCTGTGACTGTGCTCTCTGGGCTGCAGGGGGTCTGTAGCCCCCCAGCCTCCCCCACGGGGGGCACACGGCGGCAAAAGAGACCCCAGAGCCAAGAACGCGGACAGAGCTCGGTTATTTTCTCTTGCTGCTTTTTGTTGTTGTATCCACTGAAATACAATCACGATATATATATATATTATATATATACTTCTTAAATTACACAATCGATGTACAAAAACCGGGGTGCATTGCTGAGACAGGTGGTTGGTTGGGTCTTTTCTGACTTTGTGGTTTTTTTCTGGTACCTGGCAGGGGCCGGGCGGCTCCCGCCCACCATGCCCAGCACACGGTGCTTCCACGAGAACACTGGATCCCTGGGGCCAAAAAATTCACGAACCAAAGGAGGGGGCGGGACAGGAGCGGGAGGAGCGTGCAGGAAGCTGATGGCATCGATGCTGCTAAGGGTGATGGTATGGAAAAAAATGAGAGGTGATCTGTAGGGAAGAGCTCGGGGTGACAAATGCACCCGAGGCAGAGGGGTGGGGTGGCCGTGCTGGGGGCAGCACCCGTGGGGGCTGCAGGGCTGCTGCCCACCCTGCGGCCGCTGGCAGAGCCCAGGGGAGGGGGGGCAGAGCCCCTCGAGGACAAGCAAAGGGCAAAGCCTGTGGCCATTCCCCTGCCTTGGCATGCCTTGTTTTCAGTCGTCTTCACCAGGCAGCTGCTCTGCCCGGGCTGGGTCTGCTGCCTGTGCCAAGCCCTCCTCCTCCTACTCCTCCTTCTCTTCTTCTTCCTCCTCCTTCTCTTCTTCTTCCTCCTCCACTGGCTGCAGCTGCTGCTGGTGTCCTGCAAAGCTGGATGAGGCTCACCCCCCTCCCTCATCTGCTCCTGCCTCTCTTCAGGAAGGGGGTGGACGGAGACCATCCCCAGCCACGTCCAAGCCAGTCCTCACTATCCCAGGCTGGGCGTGAAGGTGCTTCCAGCAGCACTGGGCTGTGGTGAGTCCTTCTCTGGACAGTGCTGGATTTTGGGGCCATCTCACCTGGATCTGGTGTGTGCTGGATACCTGCCCTCCTGAAGGGTGGTGCTGCTCTCTGCAGCACAGGCCAGGCATCAGCTCAGGAAAAGGAGGAAGCTGAGGAGATGCCATCAAGCTCCACGGTGGGGCTGGTCCCACCTCACCTGGGCATCTCAAGGATGGCCATGGGGCTGAAGGGGACCAGTCATCCCCTTCCTCGGGGTGGGAGGATGAACTGGGGAGAACATGGAAACACCAAAAAAAAAAAACCGGAGTCAGACTCCAATCCCTCTCAGTTTTCTGGGATGAATTTGGTTGGTCCCAGGAGCTTCGGCGCCGTGCATTTCAGAACAGTTCCAGCCAATCAGAA